AAGGCCTGACCCGGAAGCTTCTCTGCCGAGCCGGAAGCACAAGCCGAGCGGCGGAGGGCAGCCGTGGAGCCGCCGCCCCCTCGCCGCTTCGCGGCTGTTTGGGGATCCCGGACCGCGGCGGCGCCGGGTTGTCCTGATGGTCCCCGGCCGGCGGCGGCGGCAGAGGCGGCGGGAGGATGACCTCTCCCCGGGAGCGGGGTGCCGACCTGGCCCGTTTCTACACTGTCACCGAGCCCCAGCGACATCCAAGGGGCTACACGGTGTATAAGGTCACCGCCCGGGTGAGTGCCGGTGTCAGGCGTGGGTAGAATCCTGAGTTGGGGCGTGAGGGACCAGGGTATGTGCCCTGGTGTGGGGGTACCTGACCCTGGGTCAGAGCGTGGGGTGGGACTGGGTGCTCCTAGTGCCTGGACCCGCGTCGGAGGTGGGGACTTAGGAAGGCTGGGGTGGGTGCTGAGTGTTGGATGCTGGAGACTGTGCTGTAGAAGGTCGCGGTAGTGCCCTCGTTCCAGGGTGGGGCAGGCGTTGATGGTTTTAAATGGATGACTCAGACCCTATCCCATTAGGACTTTCTCTTCTGAGGCTGAAATCTGCAGAAGTGGTTTTGCTTGCTTCCCAGGGATAGTGTAGATTGAAAAATTAACTTACATAATAAAATATATTTCTTCTCTTGACCTTTTATACAGTGTCAGGTTTGTACTGAGGCAGACAGATTCTTGAGAAGGATGTCGGTGTTAGGGTTACCAGCCTAGGACCTCTGTATCTGGTTGTGTCATTTTGCATCTGAGTTTTTCATGGTGTTCAGTAGGTGTCATACGGGAAATTTTACCGGGGTGTGTGTGTGTGTGTGTGTGTGTGTGTGTGTGTGTGTGTGTGTCTTGTGTGAGTTGTTTTGAGGGCATATTTAAAAGTTGTGAGGCTTCTTTACATCAGCTAAGCAATTTTTAGTACCCACTTTGTTCATCATTGCTTTTGCGGTGGGTTTTAAAGAGAGTTTGCATCTCCCTGCTTGGAAAAGAAGAGTAACAAAAATAAGTCCGAATGTATGTAATGTATGTATGTATGAATATGTGTGTATATTAGGCATTTTGAACATATTACCCAATGGAATTCTAATTTTAATGATGAGGAAACTGAGGTTCAAGGAAGTTTCACAACTTGACCAATTTTACATCATAAGATAGGTGCACATTTGGGATTTCAGTCTAGTTCTGCTTAAGTCCAAGTTATATAAAAAGTTAAGAATTAACTTTATTATTGTCATTAATTGTTAGAAAAGAGAGGTACAGATAGTAGTAATGCTAAATATACATTTGGAGGATGGCATAGTCCTCTGTGTTAGCACAGGAAGTAGGATTTGAGAACTGTAAAGGTTAGGTATATTTAGATAAACAGAGTTTGGCTCATGAGAGTGGTACGTGGTTTATGGAAATGGTGCACAATTCAGACAAATGTGAGAAGATGGGAGGAGCAAATTTGTTTAAAGATAAGACCAGGCCTGGTTATCTCAGAGGGTTATACTGAAGATAGAAGGAAATTTGTTACTTCCAGTTATGCAAGTAAGGTTGTTATATTGGCGGAGTGTTAGTTTCAGCTTAAGAAATTTTTTAAGACTAAAATTAAGGGACCCTTAGAATTACCACTTCTGAAACGTTTCTAGTAATTGGGCCCTTCAAAATCTACTTTCCTAACGTAGTTTGTGGAATTAGAACAATCTTTAACATACATAGTGTTCCCTTCACAGCACTGTACTCATCCCTTATGATAACATGTACCTCAATTATATTGTATTAACCTGGTTACATGTCAGTGTCTCTTAGTAGATCGACAGTAGGTCTCCATCACTGGTATTTGTTTCCTTTTACATCACCCGAGGCAGTGTATGGCACACAGTGTTGAAAAGAAATCGGTGGAATGTTTTTCTCGGCATTCTAGGCAGCACATCCAATCAATACATGTTTGGTTTGAGGCACTAAGTGCTATGAGGAATACAAGACTGAATAAAGCATGTCCCTTCCTTTCAAGGATATTCATAGAAGAGAGTAAACTGGACTTAAAGTAGTACAAGAGAGAATGTTAAATGCTTTAAGAGACTGCAGAAAAGAGCTGTGGGATTTCAGAAGATAGAGAGGTTGCTCTGGCTCAAGGGAGAAGGAGAAGAATTAAGATAGGTGGTGAAGGATGGGAAGAATCCAGACAGGTGAGAGAAAAGCAGAGGGCGTGGTAGGCAGAGCCCATACCTGGGAGGGACAGAGCCCATAAAGCCCTGAAGCTGTGTATGTGTGTGGAACTCAAATAGGAAACACTGGGTATGATTATTACTTGTAGTCTTACTTCGCAGAAGGAAAGGTTAACCTCATTTACATCTTAAGTATCTTTTCTTAAGCTGTGAACTAATTTTTATGACCAACAGCTAATGTATGACAACATGAATTAGAACATGAAGTAGCACATTTCCTTAGAACTAACCAAATCTCTATGATATGCATGCTACATATTGCCATGGTTATTTGAACTGGAAATTGCTTACACTGTGTTCTTTTCTCCTTGTAAATGGCTATTTCCTCATTTTTGGCTTCTGTTTTGCTTTTTTCATTTTAAGGCTTGAGGGTCATCATGGAGATATACTTTTTAGAAAAAGTATGTGTAATATTATAAAACAAGTAAAATATTTATTATTTTGTGAGACTTAAGGAGAAAAACATCTTTCCTCAGGAGAATTAACCAAGTAAGTAGTGCTCCCCTGAGACAACTTCATGAGCTAAAGATTAGGGATGTCTTCTGTGTTTCCTACTATTGATTTTCTTCTAGCTTTAGGAAGCAGTCCCTATATTCTTGATCCTTATAGCGTTCTTTATGTAGAAGTAGAATTAGAATCATGGGAAGTAAGTACCATTGTTAAGTTTTAGGTAGCATAAGAGCTCTCTCATCTTTTTAAGACTCCTTTGTGCTTAGTTTTGCATTTCTCTGGAACCTAGCAGGCTTGACTAACCTTATGGCCAGTCACATGCTGGCTAACAGATTTCCTAGGTAAGTTCTGTGTTGTTTATCAATTTTTATCTAGAGTAAATATTAAGAATTGGAAAGTTGTTTTAGAGATTTCCTTGGTTCTTCACTTAAAGAAGACACAGATCTACAAGAACCATTAGCAGTGTTTTTGGTTGTTTCACCATGCTATGTTAACAAAACTCATACTATAATGCAGATTTCTCAACTGCATTAAATGAATGGCAAATTCTTGCCTGTATTCTTTCTGCAAGTATGGAAAGCAAAAGGTATGCTTTCATTTTAATTTTTAAAAATTACTGTTTTTGTTTATTTATTTTGAGAGAGAGAGAGTGCATGCCTGCATGGGGAAGAGCGGAAAGGGAGGGGAAAAAGAGAATCCCAAGCGGGCTCCATGTTCAGCATGGAACTGGCCCAGGACTTGATCTCGCAACCATGAGATCCTGACTTAAGCCAAAATCAAGAGCCGGACGCTTAACTGAGCCACCTAGGCATCCTACTATACTTTTATTTTTAAAACGCGTTGTTGCCTTATGTCTATATTATGAATTGAAGCACAATTTATGTGCAATCAGATTCACCAGTTTTATTTGTACAATTTGATGAGTTTGGACAAATGTATATAGTTGTGTCACCACTGCCATGGTCATCTCTGCACAAGTTCCCCCAGGCCTCTTTGCATTTGGTTCCCCCCCTCCCCACCCCCTGTCCCTAGGGAACCACTGGTCATTTTTCTGTCACTGTAGATCAGGTTGTATTTTCTAGAATTTGATATAAATGGAATCATACAGTATGCACTTTGTTTTTTGGTTTGACTTCGTAACTTAGCATGAGTACTTGAGATTCATCTCTGTTGTTGTTTTTACTCTTTTTTATTGCTGACCGATACTCCATTGTATGGTTATACTACAGTGAATCCATTCTCCTGTTGAGTTGGGTTGTTTCCAGTTTTTGGCTATTATGAGTATAGTTATCACGACCATTTGTATATAAGTCTTTGTTTAGACGTATGCTTTCTTTTTTCTTGATGGCATACAACCTTGTTTACTGTGGCTTTAAACTAAGTCTTGAAAGTAGGTTCTCTTTCTCAAAATTGTCTTGGCTGTTCTAGATTGTTTGCATTTCTGTATAAAGTTTAGAATCAGTTTGGCAAATTCTATAAACATGCCTACCCAGATTTTGATTGGCGTACTTTGAGAATGTAGATCAGCTTCTACAGAAGAAGATATCTTAGCGATATTGATATCTTAGCAATATTGAATCTTCTGATCCATGTATCTTCCATTTATGTAGCTCTTTAAGCGACATTTTCTAATTTTCAGTGTGCAAGTCTTGTGCATACTTAAAGCAATTTAGGTTTGTTTTCAGACTGAGAATATGTAAGTCCTCATTTTATGTTGCTAACATTTGTTGAGTATTAAGAGCAAACACATGATGCTTACTATGAGTCGAGCACTGTTTTAAGCGTTTTATATAAATTGGGACATTTTCCACAGCAGCCCAATGAGTAGATGCTATTATTATTCTCACATTATCAGTGAGGAAATTGGGGCCCAGAGAGGTTAAGTAACTTGCCCAGGGTCACATGGCTAGCCAGGGGTGGAGTCTAGATTTGAGCCTAGTAGACTGGCCTGAGTCACAGTGCTTTTATCCCAGTGCTGTGCTGTTGACTACCTATGTTATAAAACACATTTCATTAGATTCTATGGGTGTATGTATGGGGAGACCTATGTGTCCCCACAGGGCCTTACTGTAGTTTGGCAAAACTGATGGGTACATGGAAAATACAGTAACTGTGATAATGTGAACAAAAAAGGGAGTAGGGAATGAAGGGAAGAAGTACTTAGCTTGATTTGAGTCTGAAAATTGCCATTTCTAAGGCATCAAATTGAAACACTAGTTGTATTGCTTGGAAGGAACCTGCTTTCAATTCCTGACCATATTCTTGTATATGGCCTGCTTGTGCTAGGGAAAGGAATTATTTGTAGTTTCCCAAGTATGGTAGTACATTT